ACAGTGATTGGTGATATTGATTGATGATATTGCCCAAGGAAATCAGACTACAAAGATTCTTCACTGCTTTCGTCAGGGTAATACTTTGGGAATATATCAGCCCATGTTACACACTGAGAAATTGGAGCAGTAGGGGCTTTGAACTGCTAGCACTTGCAATGACCCAATGATGAACTCAGTGTGGTCAATGGGGACACTACGAATGTCAAACCTTCATCTTGGGACATTGCGTAAAAACCAAGCAACATCTGACTACAAAGTCTGAATTTGAATAACCTTTTCATTAATTAAGGCCCTATTCCTGTAAGCAAGAACCTGCTTAAAATTATCTGTGAACCTGGTAGTCAATAGCACAGAATCTATGAATCCAGTGCCTGAATGCTAAAGCCTCTATAACGGATGCAGGAGTTTCATTCCCAGGTGTCTGATCCTCTCTAATTACATCTTTTTACAAGTTCAAAATCACCACTTAAGATCATATTTCAGTCAGGGAAGCTGGTCTAGATCTTGGTTCAGTCACCAGTGATGTTAAACAAAGTAGAATTTTCTGTTAGTGCAGACAATCTAGTTTTTCCAGTAAGTAAAGGTGATATAGATCTTCCTGTTCTGTCAGTGAAGGTGATTCTGAGCTATTTGTTCAGTTGGTGGAAGTCATTCGGAGCTTTTTGTCAAAGTGATTAAGTTGATCCAAACCTACCGGAGACACCTGTCTCTGAACATTATCCTAATCTCTGTTCAGTCACTGCAGACAATCTAGTTATCTCTGTACTGTCTGTAAAGGTGAACCAGATATATCTATGAACTTGGTCAAGTTGGCCGAGATATTTCCACTCACTTAGTGAAGGGAGATCTATATCTTGGAGGGGAGTTAGATCTCTCTCTTTATTTTTGGTAAGGTGGTCCAGACATCTCTGTCTAATGATTGAAATTAAGAAAACCTTTCTGTTACGTCATGGAAGAAATTCAAGAGAAAGTGATCCAAATATATCTGTTCAGGTGAGAGTAATCCATATAGGTCTATTAAGGTGAAGGTGATCCAGATTCAACGGTATGGTTGTTGATGATCAAGATGCGCACTACTTCCTTCCTCTTTTTAGTTCACACATAATTTACTCAGTAAATGTATTCTGGTAAACTTTATGCACATCCACCATCTTGGAACTTTTCAACAGCAGTCTGCCTTCTCCGGCATTTAAATTAATATACACAGACAATATATAGGCATTTAAGAAGGGTCATAACTGCAAGTACCTTTGAAACACAATCTTGACATACTGTGAACATTACGGAAAATAAAACAAGGACTGTGTGCAAAAGAACTCACACTCTAAATGGAGTCATGGCACAGGTGACACATAAGGTAAAATCAGACCCCCGTCTCCCAGAATGTAAAATCCTTTCCATGATAGTTGAATGGATAAACTCTCTGTGCCAGGTCTTGGATAACCTGCCGTATATTGTCACAAGGCACTTGTATCAATTCCGAAAGGCCCCCGTTGAAGTTCACCAGGGTCGGCACCGAGCCTGTTCCTGGTTGTTGACCTTTGTGCATCTCAGCTGTCCAGACAGACAATGTTCTCCCTAGTGAAAACTTCACCATTGATTCTTTTTCTCACAGCTCAGCATGTGCTTTCACAGACTGCTCGCATCGATTAGCGTCTCATCAGCAGATGAATCCTTTGTTGGTTACTGATCGATGCTATAGACTGAGTCTGTCTTTGCATTTTCTTTTCCTTGTGTGTAAAAAGAAAAAGCAACTCTAATGATTCTCCCTTTTAATGTGGGCTTTTGATGAACGCTTGTACCTTTCAATACAATTAAAAGGTCCACATTCGGCAGCTCCCGTTAGCACGTATCTAATTGAGAAGCTTGTAAGTGATGAGAGCTTTTTGAACGCATTTATCAGTTTTGGTTTGTTGTTTTTTACCAGTGATCAGATGTATTAATGGGCCTGTACAAAACATAAATGTAACATTCTGTTGCCAAGTTCATCTTAATATAAAACAAAAGTTTATTTTCCATAGCACCTGACAAGCCAAAGCAGATTTTAAAAGCCTGTGAGATATTTTCGCTAAATTGGGAATTTAGAAGGAAATGGCAACTATTAGTTTATTTTGCGTAAACGTTCAAATATTTTCCAATTCAAAATTCTAAAGTTTAGCTGACCTGGACTGGATTCTCTCTATTGACAGTTTTGGCGTAAAATATCCCGTTCCTTTGTGAATTCTCCCTGATTCCTGGATTAGTGAAAAGATCACAGATCTGCAATTCAGAGCGGAAAGCACATGGGGACCATGAAGACATCATTAATAAAATACAGTAAACTTCAGAAAATCAGGAATTGTCTGTCCCATGTCACAACGGGAACAAAGCATGACGTCCAAGCTGTTATGAAACACTTGCGATACAATTGTAACAATTTTAAAAAACAAAAATTAAAACAGGTGAGCGGGTAGGGAGGGGTGTTGATGGTATAGGCCACCATTTTAAAACATAGTATTTACCTTCCTAAATTCACTCTTTAGTTAAATGTCCCTTACTTTTTATATTACAGTTTCCTCATTGCTCCTGTTCCAAGTGGCTTTTTAGGAGCCTGTATACATATCTTTTATATGTTTTCGGTGCTATATGTCATTTTAAAGTTTACGCAGAGATGAGAGAATAAAATGTGTATTTTGTGAATTGTACACATTGTAGCTCATACCAAATTTTACTTAAAGTCACACAATTTTCGAAAACTTGAAGAAAAAAAATCCTCTAAATACCTGGATAAAACGAAATTATCCCACGAGGATGCCATATTTTTGACAACTTTATTTTATAACTACCAATTCAAAATGATTCCATATAACTCATATATTTATTATACCACTGAAGTTTCCTAATGTATTTTGCATCCAGTTTTGTCCATGTGTGAAGGCAAGTGATGGCATTATGTAATTCAGCACCGCTGAACTGTCCACGGCCAGGGTCCTGATAGGGTTAAATAACAGCAACATTAAATATTACCGAGGGCTGACAGCTATGAGTCAGCTTTCAGAGAAAACCAAAAGCCCAAAAAATAAACAGCAGAAAATAAAAAAGAAGAAGAAGAGGAGCATTAAAAGTTATTTTGTGGAACAGTGTCTTCTTGTGTTATTGAGGCCAGACGGATACACATTTAGAAACATTCTACCATAATGGAAAAGTGCTGGCAGTCTCCAACGCTCACAGAGAAAAAAACCCAGCAAAGGGCAACATGACTTCTAACTCCGGGATAAAAAGTACAAGGAACATACGTGACCTAAGAGACAGCGGACCATGCAATCCATTGCAGATCCAAGAGTGGGCAACATGTCCCATTACGGAACGAGTGAGTTCCGTCCTGCAGTTTTCCAATTGTTAAAAAACTAACCATTTGAGTTGAAGTATTGCTATAGCCTATGTTGTAGGTCTATCAGACATCAATTTCTATCAGTTCCGAATTCCTCAAGGCGATACCCAACCTTGGCATCAGGGCACATGCAGTTCACAAACATTTGAGTGGTAAGATACGCCACCATTGGTACAGGTGACATGGCTCATTTCTATCTATATGTACACGTGATCCATATCAGCTGCTGTGCAGTTTTGATGGTGCCGTGTTCTCATCAGTTTCTTCAGATGAACAAGGGAAAAGGTTTTTATATTAGCGCAGGCCGTGAGGGTGTATTTTATCATTTTCTAGCTCCTTACTAACATTACATAGCCTGGGATGTGTGTATCTCTGTAGCCAGTAGCAGGATATGCAGGAAAATAAAACACCTCCGCTGGCTACACATTGCTACATTAATTTCTTGTATGAACTATTCACCAGGCTCTTTGACTTGCCTTAAATTGTCCATCAGCCCCTGTCGAGAGTTATACGACCTTCTTTCTCTACGGGTGTGAAAAGTACTTCGTACAGAGGCAATCACACCCTGTGGCTCCATCTCTTTTCTTATTGACCTTCTGAGAATGCTGCGGCTCTCGAAATGTTACACTCATGAATGGTGTTACAGTCAAGTAATAATACTTTAGTTGGTTACCATAGTGCTAATGAACGCAGGGCCAGTATCCAGGCAAATTAGTTTGTGTGAAACTAATAAAGTAACTGTACAATTAACATTACAAAAACAAACAGAGACCCTTGACTGCAAAACCCCTCGAAACTGGGACTAAACTAGTATTTAAACTGCAGTTTTAGGACAATGTTTGAAGGATTCTCAGCTATTAGATACTTAAATATTCAGTATTGAAACATGAGTCTCCCACTCGCAGACAAAAAGTGTCTGAGAAGGTCAGAAGTCCACATCTGACTTGATGGCAAGTTCTGCTAGCATGAGAGGTACAGAAAGCCCAGACTCAAATGAGTCATTTCTATAGTTAAGTTAATGAAAGGCGTTTTTACTGCCAACATTTTTAAAGCTAGGTTTAGATTGGGGGACCATCACCCAGGACAGTACATTATTTTGGTCCCAAAGTGATTTAAATATTATATGGTGGCCTTGTAACCTGCATCCAAATATTTACTACAGGTGATATTACCAGGCCAGGGTATATGGCATTTTGGGGTCCATGAAGTCTATTACATCATTGTCTAAAGCTTGTAAAATACAGGAGTCACTGGCAATGAATCCCCAAGCTCCCTACCTTAGGGGAATTAAGCCAACTGTGCATCTTGGGTTTATCTATCAGGTGACTGATGGCATGATTCATGTGTTTAATTCAAGTAAAATGGCAAGAGACCCATTTCTATCAAACCAAGCAAAAGGATACCTGTGCTGACCTTGGGAACAATACATTTGGTATTATTAATATATACTATAATATATTATATATAGTGTTATTTATATATATATAAAGGAAAAATGCCCTGCACTCCTACTCACTCAGTAAAATTCAGACCCGGTGCTCGACTGCACTATTAGACATAGAATCAAAATAATCAGGACTCCCAGGATAGGATTTGTAAAAAAGTATTTTTCTTTACTCCATAAGTCGACGTTTCAGCTCCACTCGGGAGCTTTCATCAGGACAGCAAACATGTTTGCTGTCCTGATGAAAGCTCCTGAGTGGAGCTGAAATGTTGACTTATGGAGTAAAGGGAAATACTTTTTTACAAATCCTGGGAGTGCTGATTATTTCGGTTCTATATATATATATATATACTATAATATATAATATATAGTGTCATATATAACATGTATTCCTGACACCATAGTCCTAAAGGTGCTGTTTAGGTTATTGGCTCTCCTCCAATCTCAGTAAAATAGTGATTTTACCAACCCTTTTCTCCCAACATGGTTTGCCCTGCCTGGCTCTGCCCTAATGGCTGAGCTCATCAGTCTTAATGATCTTAGCCAATCCAATTCTTATCTACATGAACGCATTGGGAGACTATTGTACATGTGCAGCAAAACACCATGCTGCACCAATCAGCATCTGCTCATAGAGATGCATTGAATCATCTGATTGACTGCCACTATAGTGCTTACTAGGCACAATGTAAATACTGTCCTTTCTCTGAACAGGCAGTGTTTACATTGAAAAGCCTGCAGGGACAGGATATAGACACCAGAACCACTACATTAAGCTGTAGTGGTTCTGGCGACTGTAGTGTCCCTTTAAGAACCCTTTTATACTGTTTGTCAGTGTATGCTTTAGCAACAAGTATTTATTGAACTAAACCTGACAGTTTTTCTTTTTTTTTTTTTGTACCAGATTTATATTTGCCCAGGAGATTTTGGTAAATGAACCTTCCAGACTGAAGAAATAGTGTGCATTTACGAAATAAATCAGACCCTTCTACAGCGGGCTGCGCAACAGTACTAAAAGCCAAAAGACGCAGCAAACTGTCAGGAATTACATTTGTACAGAGGACATCTAGATACATTTGCAGTTCTCCTCTGGGATATTTCATCTCTTATATACATCCTCTAATGGACAATAATTGATTTGAACTTTCTGCTTAATACAAAGCTGCAAACAGCTTCACTATTGCAATGAACAAGTGTTTAGTAAAATGGAGAATTCTTGTGCAACGTATCAATTTAACACAATCTGTTATTTTATCCCAGCTTTTATATCCTTTATTATCAGGATATGCCTTTTGTGAAAGGGAGGCTAGTTACATGTAGGATGAATCATTAAAGTGACTAATCTCTTTCATGGTGGCGTTTAAATCAGACGCACAGAGAAAGAAGCATTATAGCCCACATCCACGCTCTTTCTAAGGGTTTCTTTGTATGGTATAGTCATTTGTACATTTCATCGTGCCCAGTGTCTGCAGTTTAAACACTGTCTATGGTAAGTGCAGACCGCCCATATCTCAATGGACCCCCGTGTCAATACACATCGCTTTTCAGAACGAAGCAGACTACTCCGCACCATGGCTCTGCCCTGCCCGCCTCACCAATAATATTAATGACAGTCAACACTAGTAGGTAACAAAGTTATTATGTACAGTCTACTGCCATCAATCTGCTGTATTAAATCCTCTGGCACTGTGATAATATGTACATTTAACCCAGAGAATCTACCATTTCATTGTAAAATGTGGACAGTCTGCCCAATCACCCAGTATCAGAGAATTTGCCTGTTTACCCAGAGACCATAAGAATCCGAGCATTCGCCCAGGCACCATCTGAGTCTGCCCATCCCTTATAGATAAAAATAATCTGCCCATTTAACTAGAGATCACGAGAATCTGCCCATTTGCTCAGGACCATGAAAATCTGTCCATTCACCAAGATACCATGAAAATCTGTCCAATCAGCGAGATACCATAAAAATCTGTCCATTCACCAAGATACCATGAAAATCTGACTATTCACCAAGATACCATGATAATCTGTCCATTCACCGAGAGACCATGAAGTGCTGTCCATTTATCAAGATACCATGAATATCTGACGATTTACCAAGATACAATGAATATCTGACGATTTACCAAGATACCATGAATATCTGACGATTTACCAAGATACCATGAATATATGACGATTTACCAAGATACCATGAAAATCTGTCCATTCACCGAGATACCATGAATATCTAACAATTTACCAAGATACCATGAAAATCTGTCCATTCACCGAGATACCATGAATATCTGACGATTTACCAAGATACCATGAATATATGACGATTTACCAAGATACCTTGAAAATCTGTCCATTCACCGAGATACCATGAATATCTCACTATTTACCAAGATACCGTGAAAATCTGTCCATTCAACATGATACCATGAAAATCTGTCCATTCACCAAGATACCATGAAAATCTGATTATTCACCCAGAGATCATTAAAATCTGACTACTCACCTTGAGGCTATATAAATCTAATAGGTCGGCCAAACACCACGTGCATCTGCTAATCCATTCAGGGGGCTTGCAAATCTTCCCAATTCAAATGAAAATCTGCCAATCATCCTGTAATTTGCCCATTTACCCAGAGACCATATGACTTTATCAATTCATACTGAGGATCTCCCCATTAATCTTCAGAATCTGTCCAGTTACCATGGGAAACTACCAATCACCTTGGGAACTGGCCCAATTAACATGACTATCTGTTTGTTCATCAAACCATGAAAATATGGGTCATTGTCCGTCTATCCTCCACTCAGTATCCCAATCCGTCCATTTGTCCACATGATCGAACGATCGTGGGTCATTGTCCGTCTGTCCTCCACGCCTTATCCCAATCCGTCCATCTATCCATCCATACAACATTATATACCTTTGCTAATAAGATATTTAAATGCTAAATACCAGCAGTAGACGATAGATAGATAGATTACAGGTAGATGGTTTGATAGATATAAAAATGGTTTTCTGATACATATCACACAGAATTGTGATACATTATCTGATACACATTACACAGAATTGTGATACATTATCTGATACACATTACACAGAATTTTGGTACACATTACAGAGAATTCGGGGAGGTGCAGTGCAGTATACAGTGAGCTGTGCCTAATTTCTCTACTTTTCTGCCTGCTTTCAGCCTTTCTCCCAGTTTTTGAAGAGACGCTATTTAGTTAGACTTTTGGCACAGGTGACAGCCAGTAACGCAGGCCAGCTTGTCGCTATGGTCACAACAAACAGCATTTCATTGGTTTATGTAACACGTATTAAATAAATATAACAAAACAATCAGCCTCTTTGTTAAATATTAAAATACATTTAAATGTTAAATACATAATATTTTAAAAATTTAAGGAAACTTAATTGCATATGGAAAAGAAATGAACCGAGGACAAATCAAAATGTAGCTTAAGGACATGAAAAGCATATCCACATTAATACATGAGAACAGACGGGGAAAACAAGGCATCTTTGTCTCCTAAAATGCTATGTAAATGTTGTGCAAAGTGCATGTATAATGAAAGCTTATTTTGCAATATTCACATAGCCACACATGTAGTAATATGTATATGTCATCACAAAATATATTCTGGTATTTTAGCCTCCTGCCAGTTATCCCCTCATTCCTAATCAATGTCTCTCTTTTAGTATCTTCTCAACATCCTTCAAATATGTGACTAGTATTCCTATCAAACTTTATCAACATTTTTTTGATTCTAAACTCTTCATTTCAATTTGCCTCCAAGATTCTTAATAGACTTAAAGGGACACTATAGTCACTATAACAACTACAGCTTATTGTATTTGTTCTGGTAAGTATAATCAGTCCCTTCAGGCTTTTTGCAGTAAACACTGTTTCATTCTGAGAAAATGTAGTGTTTACATTACAGCCTAGGGATGCCTCCACTGGCCAATCCTCAGATGGCTGCTAGAGGTGCTTCCTGGGGCAGTGCTGCACAGTGTGACTGCCATTCAGTGTTTCCACCGTCTGCATGCAGACACTGAACTTTCCTCATAGCGATGCACTGATTGCCTCCTTGACAATCTCAGCCAATCCTATGGGAAAGCATCGTGATTGGCTCAGATCACGAATTCTGATGATGTCAGCCAAGCAGGCAGATTGGGGCAAAGCCAGCAGCAGCAAATTTGAATAAAAATAAGATTTTGCTATATTTAGCGGTGCATGAGGGGGAGGGGACAGGAATACATGTTTGTGTTCCTGACCCTATAGTATTCCCCTAATAATATCCTCGACTGATAACCGAATTTATCAATAACTTTAATGCTATTTAAATCCAAATCACCACTTTTCTTTGGTCTTTGCTATTGCCTAGATCTCGTCTTATTATAACAACCACCATTTTTAATGTCTTATTTTTCCATCTTGATCTCATTTACAGTATCTCACAAAAGTGAGTACACCCCACACATTTTTGTAAATATTTTGTTATATCTTTTAATGTGACAACACTGAAGCAATTACACTCTGCTACAATGTAAAGTAGTAAGTGTACAGCCTGTATAACAGTAAACAATTGCTGTCCCCTTAAAATAACTCAACACACAGCCATTAATGTCTAAACCGTTGGCAACAAAAGTGAGTACACCCCTAAGTGGAAATGTCCAAATTGGGCCCAATTAGCCATTTTCCCTCCCCGGTGTCATGTGACTCATTAGTGTTACAAGGTCTCAGGCGTGAATGGGGAGCAGCTGTGTTAAATTTGATGTTATCACTCTCACACACTGGTCACTGGTAGTTCAACATGGCACCTTATGGCAAGAATTCTCTGAGGATCTGAAAAAAATAATTGTTGCTCTACATAAAGATGGCCAAGGCTATAAGAAGATTGCCATGACCCTGAAACTGAGCTGCAGCATGGTGGGCAAGACCATACAGTAGTTTCACAGGACAGGTTCCACTCAGAACAGGCCTCGCCATGGTTGACCAAAGAAGCTGAGTGCATGTGCTCAGCGTCATATGCAGATGTTGTCTATGGGAAATAGACGTATGAGTGCTGTCAGCATTGCTGCAGAGGTTGAAGGGGTGGGGGATCAGCCTGTCAGTGCTCAGACCATACGCCACACACTGCATAAAATTGGTCTGCATGGCTGTCGTCCCAGAAGGAAGCCTCTTCTGATGCACAAGAAAGTGCGCAAAACAGTTTGCTGAAGACAAGCAGACTAAGGCCATGGATTACTGGAACCATGTCT